ATATTCGCTGAGGTAGTCAGACTGAGCTGCTGAACGGGGCTAAGACGTTCGTATGCAGCCGTATCCAAGGTGGCGTTGGGGCAAGGATCGACGGGGCGTTCGATGATGACGTTTTCTCATCGCCCCTGCTTTTGTACTCCAATCAAGTATCGCTTCTACGCAGGTGAACCTCATCGTTTCAATAACCAGCCTGCCCCGATTTCTACTTGAATTTATGAGCGATATATTACAACCCTATTTATAAATTTAATAACAAGCCCAAGTACACCGGTCGCATCAGTGAACCCGGCGAAACAAAGGCCCGGCTCGTATAGTTGCGGCCCGGAAAGGCCATTCTCATAACAAAAAAAGGTTGGGAGAACCCAAAACCAGACCAGATACAGTTCTAACATTTATGACTTGTTCTGGTCTGGTTTCGGGTTAACAGATGAGAGCAATCAACGTTAATGAGGAGTCGCCCTTTTCTAGCTCTAAATAAATACCTTTTTTTTTCGGTTTCAAAATTCGTATCCTTCCTCGCTATTCCGATAACAGCCACAGAGGTGCACGTCCGCTTGTCTATGCCCATACTGATGCCACAGTCATGTGTTTATCAATGCACGTCAAGTAGTATTTAAATCGCATACTACTGTTTCAAATAGCAGTTTAAAAAGGTCTGCGAAGCTTCATCGTACCTGCCACAGATGAGTACTTTCGCAACAATACCAGTAATGTGTATACTTATATACAGACAAAAATTGAGTCAAGTAGTATTTAACCGCATACTAATGTTTTATTTCACAGTCCTAGTCTAATGGGGCCGGCAGAGTGCTTTGCAGTAGCTGCCACAGGTGTGTATTTCCGCTGGCGTACGGTTTTAAATTCAAGGTCTACGAAGGCCGGAGGATTGGCACGATGTACCGCCACAAGGTGAATACTTTCGCAGCCGGAGGTTCACAGCGCCATAGCTGCGTGTTTCACGAGCAAGTCAAAGACTGTGCATATTACGGCAATAGCAAAGTCGCATATCATTACCATGCCAACCTCAAATGCCTGTCACATCGTTGTGCTGACACATCATATCTTTGAGCGTGCACACGATCCCCCGCTCGTTAAGGCCAAGCTTGGGTAGATACCACAGTGGCGCCAACTATCTATCAATTTACTAAGCTAGAATAGCGGGTTTTGTTCCTCTTGTATGACTTCGCAGTGGCCGGCCTGCAAGCAAGAGGGGAGGAAACTAGGATTAAACACTACGTTTAAGGCGCGTTTATCAGAGTTGAACATCTGAGGCAGATGGATTTCAGCTGTTCGAAGATACAATCTAACGATTCAAGACACATCACATGGATACGGAAATTGATCGATGCCAAAGAAGTAGCCGCGAGAATAGCTTTGAGAATCGAATTCCGGACACGGTCTCAGAGCAATGATATAGGGCGCGCAAGAGAAGTTGTACCTTTGTATACGTCAATACAAAGTATCCATTGCCAAACAGTATATACCAAAATGACAAACACAGAACGTGTGACTACCTAAACCATAAAGAGCACTTCATCACACCTTTTTCTATATACAAATATGCAATGGGATAATCGATTTCATCACCGCTCTAAATATATATATACACGACCCGTAATATACGTACATATATAAACCACATACGTTAATCCCCCAGGCCCACTCATCATCGACTCGTTCGGATCGTCCGCCGAATCATCGCCATCCACATCTATCGTTTCACTATAGCTCTGCGCCTTAAATGGCCCCTCTCTACCCGTGCGGCCACGCTTCTTTCCTTTGCCCTTACTCGCGTTCGCAGCACTCCGGTATGCGTGAGTGTTCCCATCAAAATCGGAAGTTGTATATGTCCGAGACGCTCTCCGCGATTTCTGTGTGCGTGCGTCGGTGTGCTTGTGCAGACCCGGCGACTCATGCTCGACTGACGAAGAAGTAGTACTTCTCCGCCTGCTACGCCTAGCCGGTGATATACTCTGCCTATTAGAATGGCCCGGTACATTACTAATCGGGCCGCTCCGTGGTGCTCTCATGTCCTCGATGGTGTACTGTGCGCGCGCGGACTTTGATGACGTCTTATGTTTGTCTGTATGTGTTTGTATGTGTTTTTTGTCGCCGAGTGTGGGATGTGTGTCGGGTTTCATATCGGTATGCTCGTCACTCTTGTGATCAGCCAAAAAGGCTAAATCGGGCCGATTCACCATGAACTCGGTCAAATCGTCCTTATCATCGAGCTCCACGATATCCTGATGCCTCCTCTGAGACTTTTTAACACTATTCCCGCTTACCCCATAATTATCCATCGTGTTCCGTTGTCCCTTGCATTTCTCCTTCTTATGCCTACTTTTCCCGCCTTTTTCTCGGTCCGATCGATCTGTTTGTCGTGACCCTGGTCTGGGCGTGTTTGCTGCACTCTTGTTTAGTCCATGGCGTTTCATACTTTCAGCAAGTATATTCGTCCGCTCAAGACCCAGCATGATCTGTTTCTTCCCACGCCCCCTATCCTTCTTCGGTTTATCTTCATCATTACTTTCGGACTCCCACTCCAGTTCGCCCAACCGTCCCGCAATTGGTCCATGCGATACCGCTTTGCTTCTACTGTTTACTGGTGACTTACTTTGTGCTCTCGACCCGGAATCCTCGGCCACTTCGTTATCGCTATCTATCGTCACCACGCGAGTTTTTATTTTGGCCCTACTTACACCACCACGAGGCTCGTCATCGCTGATAGTAATGCTTTGCTCATAGGGCACCTCCCCACTCCCACTCTTTGTCGCTGCTATTGGAGACAGTGACCTAGAAAAGCGCCCGTCTTTTCGACTATGCGCACGAGGACTCGCAATCTGTGTCGAGTTGATTCCTGCTCCCTGTGCCTTTGGCTTGCTAGCATGTATGTCACTAATCAATCTGGGTGCATTCAGGACCTTTTCCGAGCGGAAAGGGTTGCTATCTGTGGTGAGTGTACTTAAACTTGACTGCATGTAATCTGATGAAGAGTGTTTCCTCTTTATAGGCTTCGCATTGGTACTGATATTCGACTGTGTCCTGTCTAGTGAAGGACGTTTCAACTGTGCTGGCTTCGCCTTCTCGCTGTGTTGTTCATGTAATTTACGGTCCGGTTGGGCTGACGGTACCGGCTGTGACGTAGCCGTTGATTGAGGTGTGATCTGTAAGTGGCAATGAAGTTGATTTGGATTCAAATATACTACTGAT